GGGGGCCCCCCCCCCCCCCCCCAGCCACTTTCGACTGCGAGTGGTAGTACAGGATTTGGGGACTCGTGGGCTAGCTCCTCGATTTGATAGCCCTACCTACCGTGTAGACCTGTCCTCAGGCACCGCCCCTGGAACCCAGATCCTGCAAGTGCAAGCCCAGGCACCAGATGGGGGCCCTATCACCTATCACCTTGCTGCAGATGGGGCAAGTAGCCCCTTTGGCCTGGAGGCACAGAGCGGGTGGCTATGGGTGCGAGCAGCACTGGACCGGGAGGCCCAGGAGTTGTACACACTGAAGGTAATGGCGGTGTCAGGGTCCAAACCAGAGTTAGGGCAGCAGACAGGCACAGCCACCGTGAGGGTCAGCATCCTCAAGCAGAATGACCACAGCCCCCGCTTATCTGGGGAACCCACCTTCCTGGCTGTGACTGAGAACCAGCCCCCAGGGACCAGTGTGGGCCGGGTCATTGCTACCGACCGAGACTTGGGACCCAATGGACGTCTGACCTACAGTCTGCGACAGCTGTCAGAAGACAGTAAGGCCTTCCGCATCCACCCCCAGACAGGTAAGTCCTGGGATCTAAATTCTGAGATCCCACAGTCTCACCTCTCGATGATGAACACCCTAGATGAGGAACACCCCCTAACCCCAGGCCAGATCCCAGGTGTGGGGCCCAGGATTTAACCCAGAGTTTGGCCCTGGCATTCCCTACCACACTCCCCGAGCCCCAGCCTCTTACCGCAGGCCTCAGGTTCTGATCCCTGGATATCTGATACATGATCTCCATCCTGCACTCCTAGGAGAAATAACCACACTCCAAACTCTGGACCGGGAGCAGCAGAACAGCTACCAGCTCCTGGTGCAGGTGCAGGATGGGGGCAGCCCACCCCGCAGCACCACAGGCACCGTGCACATCGCAGTGCTTGATCTCAATGACAACAGCCCCACCTTCCTGCAGGCTTCCGGGGTTGCTGGTGGGGGCCTCCCCATACAGGTATGTGAAGGAGCAGGACCCTATCCTGAACAAGTGTGAGAGGGAGTGGGGAGTCTTCCCATAAGGCTGTGGGAATAGGTGACAGAGACTGTACCCTGAAACGGGTGTGAGAGCATGAAAGGGGCCCTGCCTGCACACTGGTCAGGGGACCTTGATCCTGGGTTGTCTCAAGGACAGGAAGGAGACAACTGCAGGTGACTTGTGTCCCCACAGGTGCCAGACCGTGTGCCTCCAGGAACACTGGTGACGACTCTGCAGGCCAAAGATCCAGACGAGGGGGAGAACGGAACCATCCTATACACTCTAACTGGTGAGGGGTGGGGAAAAGGGAGTTGGGAGGGGGATGGCTGGCCCTCAAGGCCCAGCTCCAGGTCCCAAGCCCTCGTCCTTCCGCTGCCTGTCCCCAGGTCCTGGCTCAGAGCTCTTCTCTCTGCACCCTCACTCCGGGGAGCTGCTCACCGCAGCACCCTTGATCCGAGCAGAGCGGCCCCACTATGTGCTGACTCTGAGTGCTCATGACCAAGGCAGTCCCCCTCGAAGTGCCAGCCTCCAGCTGCTGGTGCAGGTATGGCCCCCCACACCCTTGCCTGCCGCTGTCCCCCCCTCTCCGATACCTCCAGCACCATGGGGTCCTTGGGCTCTCAAGTCTAGCTATCTGACCACCCTTCCCTGCCACAGAAATCCTGCCCAGCTCTTTACACGGGTCCTCCTGAGTCTGTTCTCCCTCACGGTCCACACAGGTGCTTCCCTCAACTCGCTTGGCCGAGCCGCCTCCAGACCTCGCCGATCCTGACCCTGCGACGCCAGTGCCCGTCGTGCTGAAGGTGACAGCAGCGGAGGGCCTGCGGCCTGGTTCCCTGTTGGGCTCAGTGGCGCCGCCCGAGCCGGCAGGTGTGGGCGCACTCACCTACACACTGGTTGGTGGCGCCGACCCGGAGGGCACTTTTGCCCTTGACGCGGCCTCAGGGCGCTTGTACCTGGCGAGGTCCCTGGACTTCGAAGCGGGGCCGGCCTGGCGCGCGCTCACGGTGCGCGCGGAGGGGCCGGGTGGCGCGGGCGCGCGGCTGCTGAGAGTGCAGGTGCTCGTGCAGGACGAGAACGAGCCCGCGCCCGCCTTCGCGCGCGACCCGCTGGCGCTGGCGCTGCCTGAGAACCCGGAGCCCGGCGTGGCGTTGTACACTTTCCGGGCTTCGGACGCAGATGGCCCAGGTCCCAACAGCGACGTGCGCTACCGCCTGCTGCGCCAGGAGCCTCCGGTGCCCGCACTTCGCCTGGACGCGCGCACCGGGGCGCTCAGCGCTCCGCGTGGCCTGGACCGGGAGACCACCCCCGCGCTGCTGCTGCTCGTGGTAGCCACCGACAGGCCCACCAACGCCAGCCGCCGCCGCGCAGCGCGCGTTTCCGCACGCGTCTTTGTCACGGATGAAAATGACAACGCGCCAGTCTTCGCGTCGCCCTCCCGTGTGCGCCTCCCGGAAGATCAGCCTCCTGGGCCCGTGGCGCTGCACGTGGTAGCCCGAGACCCGGACTTGGGTGAGGCCGCACGCGTGTCTTATCGCCTGGTATCCGGTGGGGACGGCCACTTCCGGCTACATTCGAGCACAGGTGAGAGCAGGGCCTGTGAGAGTGAGGGAAGGAGGGCGTTGGAGTCAATCAGTGTAAGAGGTTCCTATCGACCTGCCTTGCTGCTCACCTAGGAGCGCTGTCGGTGGTGCGGCCCTTGGACCGGGAACAAAGAGCTGAGCACACCCTGACCATTGTAGCGTCAGACCATGGCTCCCCTCCGCGCTCGGCCACGCAGCTCCTGACTGTCAGTGTCGCGGACGTCAATGACGAGGCACCTGCTTTTCAGCAGCAGGAATACAGCGTCCTTTTGCGTGAGAACAGCCCGCCAGGCACATCTCTGCTCACTTTGCGGGCAACTGACCCCGACCTAGGTAAGACCTAGGGGGATGACTTGTGAGAGGGATGGCCTGGGGCAAGAAAGGGGATGTTCACCCTCTGATCACCCTGCATGCTGTCCTACCTCAGGGGCCAATGGGCAAGTGACATATGGAGGAGTCTCTGGAGAAAGTTTCTCCCTGGACCCAGACACTGGAGTTCTCACTACCCTCCGGGCCCTGGATCGGGAGGAGCAGGAGGTGATCAATCTGACAGGTATAGAATGAGAGGATCCCGAAACCTCCAAGATGGTGCCTGGCATATAAATACTAGTGTTATACCCCCAAAGCCCTGCTTCTACAAGTGCCCAGCTATTACAGCGCGGCTCCTCTTAGAGCTATCTTGCATGCACCAAACATAGGAGGTGGGAAGGAACAGAACATCTCTGACACGTGTATACTAATGTGCACATGTACACAAGTATGCTTGAAAGCTTGGACAGAGGAACATTTTCTGGTCTGTGTGTGCACCTGGTGAACATATCTGAACACTATCTGGTGTAGGTTTCTCTGTGAGATGGGAACAGGCTAGATCTCATTGACTTTGCTTCCCCACAGTGTATGCCCGGGACAGGGGCTCACCCCCTCTGTTAACTCACGTCACAGTGCGGGTGACCGTGGAGGATGAGAATGACCATGCTCCAACTTTTGGAAGTACTCACCTCTCCTTGGAGGTGCCTGAGAGCCAGGACCCCCAGACCCTCACCATGCTTCGGGCCTCTGACCCAGATGTGGGAGCCAATGGGCAGCTGCAGTACCGCATCCTGGGTGAGAACCATCTCGTGCCTACTAGCTCAGCACCACCTGCCTGGCTCTTGCTCCTTACTGGCCCCTGCCAGCCTCGGTCAGAATGTTTGGGTCCCTTTGCCCCTCTTTATGCCTTTCCTTTTTATTGTATGCTTATGCTTGAGTATCTCTTTCTCTGTCTCTCCAGCTCTCTGTCTCCCTCTACATCTCTATTTTGTTATTCGTTTGGGTTTTGTTTTATTTATTTATTTATTTTTTTAGCTTTTCCTACAGGGCACTTGTGCTGATGGGAGAAAGAGAAAAACAGACACAAGAAAAGTGAGAAATTACCCCCTGCCCAGGGGATGTTCATGTCACAATCCTTTCTCCTCTATTCTTCTTTCAAGATTTTGGGTGCACATGCACAGTGCCCAGTGTGATTTTCAAGCTGCTGAGTCTGGGACTTGAACTTGAAGCTGCTCATGTGGAATCCAGCCACCTTAACACCACCTGCTGGCCCTTATGTCTCTGTTCATAATCTTCCTATTTCTTTTCTTTCTTATTTGCTTCTCCCTGTAGAATAGTCATTCTCATTTTTTTGTTGTTGTTGTTGTTCTTGGGAACCCTAAACACTTTTTTTTTTTTTAAATTTTGCCAAAGGACATACACACTTGCCAGAGACAGTGAGAGAGAAAGTGAGAAGTCACCCCCCCATGGGGAATGGTCATGCCACATCTTTACTCTTCCATCCCTCCCTTATTTCAAGAATTTTGGGCATGCATACATATGTGCCTGGCTCATTTCGCAAGCCACCAGGTCCAGGTCTCAAACTGGGCAGTCCAGCCATATGACATCCAGCCACCTTAACCACCATACCATCAACTGGTCTCCCTAAACATTCTTTTTTTTTTTTTTTTTTGGAGAGTTTTTCTCTATAGGGCACATACGCTCGCCAGACAGACAGAGAGAGACATAGAGACAGAAACCGAGAAATCACCCCCCAGGGGGGATGGTCACACCGCAGTTCCTTCTCCTCCATTCTCCTCTCGGGATCTTGGGTATGCACGCACATGCACCCGGCGTGAGTTTTAAGCCACCGGGTCCGGGACGCGAACTGCGGTCGACTACGTGGGAGTCCAGCGACACAGCCATTACGCTAACTGCTGGTTCCTCCCTAAACATTCTTAACCTTTGAGAACCCTGAAGAGTTTTTTTCTGTGGGTTATAGCAATGTTTATATTGATATTTAATATTGTTAATATTTATTTAATATTATTAATATTTATATTTAAATATTAAAACCTAAAATATTTCAATATTATTGCAAATAAAGCCTGTGAAGTATACTACTTGCCGTATTTCTGCATAGACACAAGGAAATGTTGAGACTTCAAATAATAATGTTGGACAGTAATGAGGCTGCAGAGATTATAGCAGGTATTAGGTGTAATGAAGGTAGCCGACACACACTGAATCTCTGAAAACACACATATCCATGCTCTAATACTCTGCCTAGAAGATTCTAGAAAACACACGAATACACAAGCACACATTCCATTAACCAAGTAATGATGTCATCACATCATGCAGCATCTGCAAACTGTACTATACATCTGTGAGATAAGAATGAAAAAAGCATAGAATGTCTTAGCAGTGCTATGAAAAGTTTTGATCTTTTTTAAAAATAAATATTTAATTTTATTCTTCTTATTATTTTTAAATTTTGCCATAGGACATGTGTTCACCAGGGAGAGACAGAAAGAGGAAAAGTGAGAAAGCAAGCTGCCAGGTCTGGAACTCAAACTGCAGTTAGACAGGAGTCTAGCACCTTAACCACCACACTACCTGCTGGCCCCAGTTTTGATCTTAATATGTATGGAGGGTATCAGAGGACTCCCAGGTATTCTAGACCACACTCTGAGCAGTTATCAGCTGCTTTATAGTATCTTTACCTTCTGCATGTTTCTCTGCCTTTCTCTCGGTCTCTCAATCTCTCAGTCTCTCAAACCATCTCTGTCTCTCTCTGCTGCTTCCTGTAAGTGGTACCCATCCCCATGGGCTGATAATGTGTGTATACCCTTTGCAGATGGGGACCCATCAGGAGCCTTTGTCCTAGACCTAGCCTCTGGAGAGTTTGGCACCATGAGGCCACTAGACCGGGAGGTGGAGCCAGTGTTCCAGCTGCAGATCGAGGCCCAGGATGGAGGCCAGCCAGCTCTCAGTGCCACCCTGCTTGTGACAGTGACAGTGCTCGATGCCAATGACCATGCTCCAGCCTTTCCTGTGCCTGCCTATTCCATGGAGGTGCCTGAGGATGTGCCTGCAGGGACTCTGCTGCTGCAGCTTCAGGCTCATGATCCTGATGCTGGGGCCAATGGCCACGTGACCTACTATCTAGGTGCAGGAACAGCGGGAGCCTTCCTGCTGGAGCCCAGCTCTGGGGAATTGCGCACGGCTGCAGCCCTGGACAGAGAGCAGTGTCCCAGCTATGCCTTCTCTGTGAGTGCAGTGGATGGCGCAGCTGCAGGGCCCTTGAGCACCACAGTGCCTGTCACCATCACGGTGCGTGACGTCAATGACCATGCTCCCACCTTCCCCACCAGTCCTCTGCGCCTGCGCCTGCCCCGCCCAGGCCCTAGCTTCGGTACCCCAACCTTGGCTCTGGCCACACTGAGAGCTGAAGATCGTGATGCTGGTGCCAATGCTTCGATTCTGTACCGGCTGGCAGGCACACCACCTCCTGGCACCACTGTGGACTCTTACACTGGGGAAATTCGTGTGGCTCGCTCTCCTGTAGCTCTGAGCCCTCGAGATCGTGTCCTTTTCATTGTGGCCACTGACCTTGGCCGGCCAGCTCGCTCTGCCACCGGTGTGATCATCATTGGACTGCAGGGAGAGTCTGAGCGTGGACCTCGCTTTTCCCGGGCTAGTAGTGAAGCTACGCTCCGTGAGAATGCACCCCCAGGTGGGTCCCCAGCCTTGTCACCCAGATTTGTATCCCTAGATGGGCTGGGATTTCGCTTGTTGAGAACGTCCTCCGAAGTCCCACAGTCTAGTCATAGTCCAACCATACCACCCTCTCTGCAGGGACTCCTGTTGTCTCCCCCAAGGCTGTCCATGCAGGGGGCTCGAGTGGACCAATCACCTACAGTATTCTCAGTGGGAATGAGAGAGGGACCTTCTCCATTCATCCTAATACAGGTAAGGGCTGGGAGCAGGGGCTCTGGGAGGGCAAGTAAGTTCTCTGGGCCACAGGAGGCATTGACCAGGCAGAGGCTGTCTTAGAGCCAGGGTCCTCAGGGATGGAGGCTCCAGGGCCAGCAAAGGGGTTGTCACTGATGTATTCCACCTCCCCCCAGGAGCCATCACAGTTCGTGTAGCAGAGGGTCTGGACTTTGAGGCAAGCCCACGGCTGCGACTGGTGCTGCAGGCAGAAAGTGGGGGAGCCTTTGCTTTCTCTGTGCTGACATTGACCCTGCAAGATGCCAATGACAATGCTCCCCGTTTCCTTCGGCCTCACTACGTAGCCTTCCTACCTGAGTCTCGGCCCTTGGAGGGGCCCCTGCTACAGGTGTGGGGTGTGATGGGATGCTGGGGCAGGGGCTTGTCAGACTTGTCTGTGGCCAGGCCAGTGCCAGCAGCCTACTTTCCTCCTCAGGTGGAGGCAGATGACCTGGATCAAGGCTCCGGAGGACAGATCTCCTACAGTCTAGCTGCATCCCAGCCAGCACGGGGGTTGTTCCACATGGATCCTGCCACAGGCACCATCACTACCACAGCAATCCTGGACCGTGAGATCTGGGCTGAAACACGGTGAGGCATAGACCTGTAGGCCCAAGACCCTATCCTGGGTTTATCTAGCTTCAAGCCCTGTCTTATGTCCTCTTCAGTCCCTAGGCCACATGCAGAATACCCCACTTCTATGCTATATCCAAAGTCCTTCTGGCCTTCTGCAGGGTTCCACCTATCCTCAGACCCCTGATTGTGCTCTGTATGCAGGCTGGTACTAATGGCCACAGACAGAGGAAGCCCAGCCCTGGTGGGCTCAGCAACCCTGACAGTGATGGTCATTGACACCAATGACAACCGCCCTACCATCCCCCAGCCCTGGGAGCTCCGTGTGTCGGAAGGTGAGGCCTGGGTAAAGTGGGAGGTATAAGCAGTGGCCCCAAAGCACAGTTCCCTAGCCTGGGCTCCATGGATTTGCTCCGTGTATTGCAGATGCGCTCCTGGGCTCGGAGATTGCACAGGTCACAGGGAATGATGTGGACTCAGGACCGGTGCTGTGGTATGTGCTGAGCCCATCTGGGCCCCAGGACCCTTTCAGCGTTGGCCGCTATGGAGGCCGTGTCTCCCTCACAGGCCCCCTGGACTTTGAGCAGCGTGACCGCTACCACTTACAGCTGCTGGCCCATGATGGCCCTCATGAGGGCCATGCCAACCTCACAGTACTTGTGGAAGATGTCAATGATAATGCACCTGCCTTCTCACAGAGCCTTTATCAGGTATTGACACCCCTGGGTGCCCTCACACCTGAGCCCAGCGTAGGGGGCCCTTCTTGCTGGAGGGCATTTCAGGTGACGTGGGGGTGGGTGACCCATCTAAGTCCTGTGAACCATGTCCAGGTTCTGCGTCCTGTGCCAGAAAGAGCAGAAGGCAGGCAATTCTCATTCAGATACTAGGGAGTGTGGACTCCAGGTCAGAATGGAGAGGAGAGCCTCCCTTCTGGGAAAAGCCTCGGAACACAGGCTGAGTGGGCAGCAGGGCAGCTGGGAAATTAGCCATGAATGCTTTTTTTCTCACCTCAGGTGAAGCTGCTAGAGCACACCCCCCCAGGCAGTGCCATTTTCTCCGTCTCTGCCACCGACCGGGACTCGGGGGCCAATGGTCACATCTCCTATCACCTGGCTTCCCCTGCTGAAGGTTTCAGTGTTGACCCCAACAATGGTACGTCTTTGCCAGGATTCTCAGGATCAGACCCATTATCTTTGACCATGTTGGGCCATATTCTGACCTCATTCACTAGTTACTCAAACTCTTCACTCCTGGCTCTCTGACCAGGGAGGCCCTTCTCTCTCTCTCTCTCTCTCTCTTTTTAAGAGAGATTCCTGCCACAAGGCACTTGTGCTCACCAGAGAGACAGTGAGAGACAGAAAGTGAGAAATCACCCCCTGGGGGGATGATCACGCTGCAATCCCTTCTCCTCCATTCTCTATCTGGAATTCTGGGCACACACGCACATATGCCCAGTGTGAGTTTTAAGCCGCTGGGTCCAGGACTCCAACCATGGTCAACTACATGGGAATCCAGCGACATAACTGTTACGCCATCTGCTGGTCCCTCTCCTCATTATAAGTCCTGTCCTGACTGCATGTCTAGAATCTGTTCCTTGAGCTTTAAATCCTCCAGGCCATTCTGAATGTCCCAGCACACAGGCTGTTCACCCTGCAGTCTGGACTTTCCGAAGCTGCTTTCCAGACCCTGACAGGTCACATCACCCTTCTGCTCACTTACAGCCTCAGCTGAATCCCTGTTTCCTCCTTTCCTTCTCATCTCAGGGACCTTATTCACAACAGCAGCAACAGGGGTCTTGGGCCACGAGGGGCCAGGAGTGGTGGATGTGGTGCTGGAAGCACGAGACCACGGAGCTCCAGGCCGGGCAGCACGAGCCACAGTGCACGTGCAGCTGCAAGACCAGAATGATCATGCCCCAAGCTTCACGTTGTCCCAGTACCGTGTGGCTGTGGCTGAAGACCTGCCCCCTGGTTCCACCTTGCTCACCCTAGAGGCCACAGATGCCGATGGGAGCCGCACCCATGCTGCCGTGGACTACAGTATCATCAGTGGCAACCGAGGCCGAGTCTTCCAGCTGGAACCCCGACTGGCTGAGGCTGGGGAGAGTGGTGGGCCAGGGCCCCGAGCACTGGGCTGCCTGGTATTGCTGGAACCTCTGGACTTTGAAACCCTGACACAGTACAATCTAACTGTGGCTGCGGCTGACCGGGGGCAGCCACCCCGCAGCTCGGCCGTGCCAGTCACTGTCACCATACTGGATGTCAACGACAACCCACCTGTCTTTACCCAAGCATCCTACCGTGTGGCAGTGCCCGAGGACACGCCTGTCGGAGCTGAGCTGCTGCATGTGGAGGCCTCTGATGCTGATCCTGGCCCTCATGGCCTTGTGCATTTCACCCTCAGCTCAGGTGACCCTTTAGGGCTCTTTGAGCTGGATGAGAGCTCAGGTGCCTTGCGACTGGCCCAACCCCTGGACTGCGAGACCCAGGCTCGACATCAGCTTGTCGTGCAGGCTGCCGACCCTGCCGGGGCACATTTTGCTTTGGCGCCAGTGACGGTTGAGGTCCAGGATGTGAATGACCACGGCCCAGCCTTCCCGCTGAACTTGCTTAGCACCAGCCTAGCTGAGAACCAGCCTCCCGGCACTCTTGTGACCACTCTGCATGCAATCGATGGGGATGCTGGGGCTTTCGGGAGGCTCCGCTACAGCCTGTTGGAAGCTGGGCCAGGGCCTGAAGGCAATGAGGCATTTGCGTTGAATAGCTCAACAGGGGAGCTGCGGGCACGGGTGCCCTTTGACTATGAGCACACCGGAAGCTTCCGACTGCTGGTTGGCGCTACCGATGCTGGGAACCTCTCAGCCTCTGTCACTGTGTCCGTGCTGGTGACTGGAGAGGATGAGTATGACCCCGTGTTCCTGGCTCCAGCTTTCCACTTTCAAGTGCCAGAAGGTGCCCGGCGTGGCCACAGCCTTGGTCATGTGCAGGCCACAGATGAGGATGGAGGTGCTGATGGCCTGGTGCTCTATTCCCTTGCCACCTCTTCCCCCTATTTTGGTATCAACCAGACTACAGGTGCCCTGTACCTGAGGGTGGACAGCCGGGCACCAGGCAGCGGATCAGCCACCTCTGGGGGTGGGGGCCGGGCCAGACGTGAAGCTCCACGGGAACTAAGGCTGGAGGTGGTAGCACGGGGACCTCTGCCCGGTTCCCGGAGTGCCACAGTACCTGTCACTGTGGATATCACCCACACTGCACTGGGCCTGGCACCTGACCTCAACCTACTGTTGGTAGGGGCTGTGGCGGCCTCCTTGGGAGTCGTGGTGGTGCTTGCACTGGCAGCCCTGGTCCTTGGGCTCATTAGGGCCCGGAGCCGCAAGGCTGAGGCCATGGTCACAGGCACCCCCGCCAGCCAGTGGCTCCTTACAGAAACTGGGCCGGGAGCCACCCAGTCCCCCACCCTCGGAGCACCTGTATCACCAGACTCTCCCCAGCTATGGTGGGCCAGGAGCTGGAGGACCTTACCCCCGGGGAGGGTCCCTGGACCCTTCACATTCAAGCGGCCGTGGCTCAGCAGAGGCTGCAGAGGATGACGAGATTCGCATGATCAACGAGTTCCCCCGAGTGGCCAGTGTGGCCTCCTCCCTGGCCGCCCGTGGCCCTGACTCGGGCATCCAGCAGGATGCAGATGGACTGAGCGACACATCCTGTGAGCCACCTGCCCCTGACACCTGGTATAAGGGCCGGAAGGCAGGGCTGCTGCTGCCAGGGGCAGGAACCTCCGAGGGGGGGCCCCCCCAGCCACTGCCACGGCCTTCCTGGGGGGCTGTGGCTTGAGCCCTGCACCCGTCGGGGACTATGGCTTCCCAGCAGATGGCAAGCCCTGTGTGGCAGGTGCACTGACCCATTTGGGCTGTTGAGGAGTAGCTCCGTGGCAGCTATAACTGGGACTACCTGCTGAGCTGGTGCCCTCAGTTCCAGCCTCTGGCCAGTGTCTTCACAGAGATCGCCAGGCTCAAGGATGAAGCTCGGCCGTGTCCTCCAGCTCCCCGTATTGACCCACCACCCCTCATCACTGCTGTGGCCCACCCAGGAGCCAAGTCTGTGCCCCCCAAGCCAGCAAGCACAGCTGTAGCCCGGGCCATCTTCCCACCAGCCTCTCACCGCTCCCCCATCAGCCACGAAGGCTCTCTGTCCTCGGCTGCCATGTCGCCCAGCTTCTCACCCTCACTGTCTCCTCTGGCTGCTCGTTCACCCGTTGTCTCACCATTTGGGGTGGCCCAGGGCCCCTCAGCATCGGCACTCAGCACAGAGTCTGGCCTGGAGCCACCCGATGACACGGAGCTGCACATCTAGCTGTGGCCCAGGCTGGGCCCCGACCTGGGACGCGCACTGTGTCCCCAATGCAGGCCCCACTTTGAGCCTGCCCTGGGCAGCCTCGGACCGTGACTGGCCTCGGGGAGGCCACCACCAGGCCCTAGCTCTCCACCCCACATTCCCCAGCCCCCTCAGAGCACTAGGACCACAGAAACCCTGTTAGTCACAACCTAGAGCCAGGGCCAGTGTGGGGAGAAATATGAAGGAGGTGGCAGCGCTGGGCTCTCCTCAGTGAGGGCTTCCTATCCTGTGCAGCACCCTGACACGGAGCTGAGACTTTATTTATTGGGGGGTGGGGGATGGGAGAGGTCCCGCCAACCTGTTTGGGCCCAGTGCCTTTGGGTTCCACTGACACCCCCGCCCCTGCCCAGAACCAAGTGCCAATTCTCACTCTGGAGCCTTAATAAATTGCAGTTTGTATCCTGCCTCCGGCTCAGTTCTGTGGGGATGACTGGAAGGCACCTGCCATAGTACTGTGGACACCTCCAGAGATACAGAGGGGTGGTTGACATGGGGACATGGCACTGGGAGCTCAGGAGGCCAGCCTGAGCTTGACAATCACTTCTCTCTGCAGTCAGTCTTTTCCCTCTAACTTGGGCGCAGCAAGAATTTAGTTAGAGCAGCAACCTAGAGAGGGATTGGTTGGGTGGGAAGGGATCTATCTGGAGGATGGCCAGATCTAGGCCTGAGGATTCTTTGGTTTTTGTTTTGTTTTGTTTTCTAGAGGGTACATACCCTTGCTAGAGACACAGAGTGATAGGAGAAAGCACCCCCGCACCCCCCCCCCGCCATGGGGAATGGTCACACTGCAAACCCTTCTCCATTTCTCTCACACTTCCTGATTTGGGGCATGCACACACTCACACCTGGTGTGTTTCTAGCCACTAGGTTCAGGATTCAACCACATGGTCTCCTTAACCACCAGGTCATGGAGTCGCCCCAGCCTGAGAGTTTTAAGAGATAGGGAGTACATGTGCGAGCAGCCAAGTGGTTTATTTTTCTCGAGGCTACTAAATATCTGCACTGTAGTAGTAGAAACTCCTACCCGTTGGGTCTTTGCCATGTCAGGTTCCATGTTAGGCAATTTGCTTGCTGTACCTCTGCGTAAATTTTCACTGCAACCCTATGAGGAAGGTCACTTTCATAAAAAGGCTCTGTGTCATAAATGAAGAACCCAGGCTTTAAGAGTTTGTTGCTTTCTGATACCCTGTGGGCCTCCAGAGCCCACTTCCTTGTGATTCCTGTGGGGAATCCTGGGCTTACCCCAGAGCTCGTCTGCCCAGAGGTAGAATCTGGAGCAGCAGCCCCTCCTTTCCCCAGCATTTAGAACCACCCATTCAAAGGAGGAGCCAGCACGTCACTAGTTACTAGGCAGGAGTAGGCGTGGTGGTGGTGAAAAATAGGGCTCATGTGATCTGTCACATGACAGCAGATCTGCAGAAAGGCCGAATGGAACTCCCAGCCTGGTGAGAAAACAGGGGAGGTCTGGGAAAAAGGGATCATATTGGAGAGAATATGTGTTGGAGGGGGGATCACAGCT